CCTTCGTACAAGGGGTTTTTACGTTACAGAGTGGTGTTATATGTGTAAGAGGGATGGAGAGACGATTGATCACTTGTTACTTCATTGTGATGTTGCTCGTTTACTGTGAAGCAATATTCTGGTGTCGCAACACATGGATTGAGTGTTACCAAGGCGTACGGAGGACATGTTAAAGGCATGGAGGAGAAAGTTTCGAGACAAAGATAGTAAACTTGTATGGGACCTCATTCCGTGTAATATCGTATGGTGTGTGTGGAAGGAAAGGAACGGTCGTTTTGAAGGCTAATCACGGACAATAGAGCAGATCAGGGAATTTTTTTATTTTACATTGTATACTTAGTTTAATGTTGCGGCTACTAGGCGCTAGCAGCCTAATTTCATGTTGTTACTTTCCGATTTAACTTAATAGTACACTTCATGTGTATTATACATTGATTAATAAAATATTTGATTACCTTTCAAAAAAAAAAAATCTATAATATTAGGTGTCCAAAAGTGCTGGCAAATAAATTGCAACATAAGATGTGCTAGCAATCAAATAGCTACTTATGTAACTGATAAAAAGAATACAAGCTAAAACGGAATTCAGGGACCAAGAGAACTCACATTCAAAGTTATGAGCATCATCTTCATTATCAACGGGCAATGAGATACCTTCACTCAATTCATTCCCTCTCATGTTGATGCTAGAAGGAGATACAGGAACAGCACCATCTTGCACCTCTACACAAGAGGAAGGATCATGCGATGAAACCGAATAATAATTCCCACCATTAATACCCACTCTTCGACGCCGCCTCAATCCACCCCTTCTTGTGGAATCTACTACCCGTTTGCCCTTCATATCAGACCTATCGTTCCTCCAATTCAGCAGCCTCCTGGGTACATTCCCTGACCTCCTTATATCTGATACTGAACCACACGATGCCTCACCTTCCATTTCAAGAATACCCTTAGTATTATCATTAATAATAACTTTAACCTTCTGACTATTTGCACAAATGGAATCATTGAAAGGGAACTTTTGCTTCACAGAAAGTTGGACATTAAATACTGTTTGAGTTGGGAAATCAATTAACAGCTGTTGTAAGCAGTGATTCCTATTCGGGGTAGTGAAAAACAGGCCATTACAAGGGCATGGTAAGCACAATCCAAAAAATCCAAGAAATTTTGATGCTAAATAGGCCACAGCTGATGCACACAACAAGAAGTAGGCTATAGCAAGATCAAGAAAAGCACCAACTAAACCACTCAAAGTCCACATCTGAATGGCCCGGCATCCCATGTTCAGTGATGATTAAACTTTACTTTCAGAACTTGATCAAAAGAGAGTTTTTTTAATTATTATTATTGGCTGGAAATAATTACCTACTACTCAAAAGGAAGGCTGTGAATGGCCTCGAGGCGAAAAAATCAAGAAAACCCAGCAGCAATACGAAGAAAATTGGGTAAACTTCGTCGCGGTCACTGGACTTTCAGAAAAAAAATATTCAATTGGGTTATGAAACTTTAATTTATCTCAGTTTAGTCACTAAGTTTCAATTTAGTTTTAAATTGGTTTACTTAACTTTGATATAGTTTCAAATTTCACCACTTTGTCATGTAATATTTTCCAAATTGATGAAAATTGCTTAATTGAAAGTCATTCCATCATGATTTTTTCACATAATCAATGTGTAACATGTCAATTTATCATTGTATCACATCTTAAACATGTTAGAATAAAAAAGAAAAAGCATTTTAATCTTTTAATCTAAGATATTGTCATAGCACTCGTTTTATCATTTTTTGTATCTAAGGTACTACTACATAGCGAAAACATGGTAGATCAACTATGGTATGAGGGTCAACTAAGTAAATTATATCAACTTCAGGGATGAAAGATGGTGGAATGTGAAAGAGTAACGAAATTTGAAATTAGATTGAAGTTAACTCACTTTATTTAAGACAAATAAGAGTAGAGAGAAACTAAAACTTCATACGAATAAATAACTTGATGCACAATCGTAATTTTTGAAGTGTCATTAGTATGACACATTTCAGCCTTCGAGAAAAATAAATAAAAATTAAAGCAACACTTCAAATAGTTTATGGTTCCGTATTTTCTTTTAAATATTATTTTATTTACAAGTATGGGATAATGCCATAATGGATTTTGAAATGTCCAAGTGAATGCTAATAAAAATCTCACGTCCTCTAAATACAAAAATAATGATCGGTTGGACCCACCCAAGCATTTGGCGAGTGCTCGACTTTAAATGGGACTAGAATCTTTTATACTTTAGGATAAAATTGTAGGAGATACTATATCGATAATGTGCATATTATATTAATCAAGAACATACCGTGTAATCGAAATATCATTCGATATACACAAATCTGATTTGAGAAGACAATATAGTGATTCCCGACTTTCAATATATGAATATGGATACATCGCATTCAAATCTTGAACGCGTGTCATTCTTTAATTCA